GGGCGGGAACTCACCTATTACCGTAGTAACGCAAGCGTTACGTTACCGCCACGTACCGCTGGGGAGGTAGGGGTGATCCATAGCTCAACATGTCACAGTATGAATAGTAAGGATGGACTCTCCCTCAGCAAGTCATAGAATCCATTCATCTACATCCTTAAGGAACTGAGAAAGCCTCCTTATGGGGAGATGTGACTGTTTGGTTTCTCTAACCTGGCCCTTAGAAGGGTAGATTAGTAACTTAGCTATTTCTTAATTTCTGCCCCTTCCTTTCCTCTTGCTCCTTCTTATTTTCACTTATTTAGTTATTTTAATGTTCATTTTATCATACTTTTTACTTCTTTCTTCTTTCCTTGCTCTTGTGTTTCTGCTTTCTCCCCTTGGAAAAGCCTTTCCAGGGGTAGTAGATTCCATTGGTTCACTCATCACCCCAGTCCCAACAATTCTTTCCAGATATTACATACTATTTTCCCCACTTGGCTCATTTCTACCCTGAAGATGGAGGCAGCAGGTTCCTCCAAAACATTCATACCTATGTACAAACTACACAATGTCACATTTCAGAAGGCTACAATCTTATCACTCGCCACTGTAAGAACCTCGAATCTCATGACATCTGACCTGTCTTTCTTCATGGCACTTGTAAACATTATTCTGTCAATATTACTGACGGTCTGCCACTAGCACCACATCTAGTTCCAACCAGACTGAACTCACCATATACCGTTTATCCCTTTAAAGCCATGAGTGAACTGACTGTATATTCTAAATTCAGTTTCAGTGTCTGTGGCTGTAGCTACCATCTCGACAGGAAATACTGGCTTTGAGTGCAAAGCATCCGTAACACCTTTTTTTTATTATTGCTAGTGGGGTGGGACTAAGTCCCTTGTACTGCGGCCACTTCTGGCCTGTTGTACCAGCCCCAGATGATAGGTGAGGGTGATTGTGGAGCAATTGGTGGAATAAATATTGGCAGGGGAAACCGAAGTACTCGGAGAAAACCTGCCCCAGCGCCACTTTGTCCATAAATCTCACTTGACCCAACCCGGGATCGAACGTGGGCCGCCGTGGTGGGAAGCCAGCAACTAGCCACTTGAGCTATGGCGCGGCCTCCGCCCGTAACACCTTAGTCAATAAAATTAAGCTTATACGTTGCTAATTAAAAAAAAATCATGCATGATAAGGCAAAATTTTCCAAAATGTGGATCCAAGGAGAAGATTATTGGATACATTTATGGTTTTCAAAGCGTTAATGTGATAGGGTAAGGCAACAAAAAATAGAGTTCAGAGCATGAATTTATTGCAAGAATACCACATATGTCATTGAGTCAATGAAGTATGCTGTTATTCCTGCCTCAAAAAATGTCTCTTTCGTGGCTACACTTTCTCATAAATCTAGCATCATTTTCCGTGACACTCCTGAGAAGAAGAGGATTAAAACTTAAACCTTCCTCTAAATATATATCTGTATTCTTCTTGCATTGGAAAATAATGAAGAGAACATACGATACGTAGGGCATGTTCAGCAAGATCAGGAAACTTGATAACACTTTCCACCTGAAAATATTAGCTGTATCTACCTTCTGGTGTAACAGTCCCTCCATCTGGAGGTGTGGCCTTACCTTCTCTAGGGTTGGCATAAAACTCTTGTCCAGGTGACAGTTTTGCAGTATGACCCATGTTCCATTACGAATGCCTTCCTCTATCAATTTTACAGCTCTGGGGCCTTGCCCTTGACCCAAGGATAGACCATGCAGACGGTTTGCTCCAAAGCCCTATAAATAAAGAATAAAAATTAAAAACTGAAATATATCACTTAGACAATATTTATTTTTGAAACTGAATTTAGGCCATTAAATTGTAAGACAATGTCAAATGATGTGATGGTGATCAGACTTCAGTAAGACTTACAAAGCAGAACAAGTTACTTTAAGAGAAAATATGAAAATTAGATGCAGCAAGGTAGTAAAGTTAAAGAGAAATATGGGACTATTTAGAAAGTAACCTCTGTTCATTTTAGGCAAATAATGCTGGAGCAGGGGAGAGCATGCGCATGCGATGTAGTGTCATGTAACTCATGGCCTTGTAAACCATCACATATCTTCTCAACTGGTGTTTGTTCTTGTCTCTTCAGAGTGAGTTATGATGTGTTGTGTGATTGATAATCCTGCCAGCTGCAAAATTCTTGCTGTTATCAGCTTTCTTTTTGCTAAAAACATGAGGGCTGCAGAATTCCATCATGAATTATGTGTTGTGGTTTATGGCCAAAATGTATTGAGTGAAGGTACTGCAAGACAATGATGTAGAATATTCAGAGATGGGTGAACAAATGTTCTTGATGAAGAGTGAAGTGGTCAGCCATCTATAGCGTTCAAAGTGTTAACCAAAAAATTTGTGAAATATGGCACTTCAAAATTTCAGAACTTTCATGTGAATTTCCACGAATTTTACGAACTGTTCTCTATGAGATTATCAGTTAGGCTAGGCTATCACAAGTTTTTCTTAAGCTGGGTTCCAAAAATGCTCAAAGGTGAGCACAAAATGCAGAGAATGGCTTCAGCTCTGACTTTCTAGAGTCAGATGATGATGAATTTCTCAATCATATTGTACAAGTGACAGGTGATGAAACTGGGGTTTCATTTGTGAATGTTGACACCAAAGAGCAGTCAGCAGTCAAAGCAATGGATGCAAACACATTCACCAAAAAAGCTGAGAAAATGTAAACAAATATTTTCTATCAGAAAGCTGATGGCACCTGTTTTCTGGGATGGAAAAAGAGTGCTGATGGCGGAATGCGTGCAATAAGAGACCACAATGACATCAAAAGTGTATTGTGAAATACTAAAAAAACTGCGTAGGGTTGTTCAGAACATGGAATGCTGACACCCTGTGTAGTGCTCCTCCATAACAATGCATGTCTGTATACAGGTGCTTGAATTCAAGCACTGCTGGAGCATTTCATTTGGGGGTTGTTTGACCACCCTCCTTACAGCCCTTTTCTCGCTCTGAGTGACTAAAACCTATTTACTCACACCAGTGGCGTGCCGTACATGGAAGCAAGGGAAGCATTGCTTCCATAGTTAAGAAACGAAAAGAAAAGAAGTCATATATAAACAATTCAACTTGAATATTGTCATTTAGTGCGTGTTCCTGCTCAAGGCCACATGCCTCCTCCTCCTCCCTTACCCTGCTTGGTGGGACGGACCAAGCTTCTTTCGTTAATCTCATTAAGAATTCGTCTCACACGAAGTGAGCAGGGAAGCATCTTTTGGTTTGCTGGCTAATGCCTGTGATATGGAAGCGAAGGAATGTGTTCTTTCAATGGCTATATGAAAATTAACTGTTTATGCGTGATTTCAGTCTTGTTGGGTGTTATAGGTATCATTAAGTTTTATTAAAATATTGTAAGTGCATATTTATATGGCATAAGATTGTATTTGTGATCGTATTTTGACGCATCAGAAAGAAGCTATCCGCGTTTAAGGGAAGCAAGTCTGATATTGCGGTAAGAGGGGCAGGGGCTACACGCACAGGCCATAGCTAAAATGAATGCTGGCAGACAATGTGACTGCGACTGTGTAATTGAAAGCCTTTAAAACGGGAGTTTAATAGAAGGGACTTTTCTGAAAAGAAACTAATTATAGAAAGAGGACCGACATGACAGGTGCCAGAACTTAAAGCAAAAACAAAATTATGTGTGAAGAAATTTAATTTGGAACAGTATTCTAAAACAGAGTGGCTACCCAGTTGCCATAATATAGCAAAATTGTTTTGTTCTCCATGCCTATTGTTTCTCAAGGGAAAAAAATGTATGGAATAAGACTGGGTTTGGTAATATCAACAACCTTCATAGAGCATTGAAACGACATGAAAACTCTCACACTCACATTATTTCAACAGTGCAACTTGTTGTTATGTTCGGGAAATCTCGAACTGACTGTCAACTTGACAATCAAAAGCGCNGAAGGAATGTGTTCTTTCAATGGCTATATGAAAATTAACTGTTTATGCGTGATTTCAGTCTTGTTGGGTG